TGTTTTACTGTTAGATTTTAATATAAATTGTCTTTTTTTTTTTTTTTTTAATAAACAGCCTTGGAATGTGCTTCTGTTACTTGCAAACCTAAGATTCATTTACAGTCTGCTCTTGTATTTAACGACATCATAATAATAGCTAACATTTACTGAGCCCATACTGTGTGCCAGGCACTGTTCTAAGTGATTTACAGGTTTTAGCTCACTTGATAAATATTGCTTTTATAAACATCATATGTTGTGGTTATAAATATTAACCGCCATTACAATTTAGTTAACAAATCTAACCATGGGCATAAACAAACAGCTCTAGCAATCCAGCTTTGCTTGGCTTCAAATCGGTTGAGTTGATTTGTGTTTTAATTGGTTGAAGGAAAATCTAAGCCACTAGTGTCTCCAGAGCATATGAGTCAGGAGAGCCACTCTTCAGGTGACATAACATAACAGAGTTCACATTTTTAAAATTAGACAGTGCAAACGTGTTTTTACTTGTTTCAAGTCAATAACTGATAATGTTCAACTCAACAAATTCTACAGAAGAAAATCCCACAAACTGCAATTTCCCATTGATAAATTCCCGTTGATGTTCTATAGTTTTTACAAACCACATCGGTGTGAGTGGAAGAGAGACGCATGTATGGATTAGATACTATGAATTCCCATGTGAGACTAGGTCCGCCTTTTCTGAGGGTTGGGAAGAAATCCCAGGCTCCATGAGGGTCTTCAGGGTGACTTCCCAGCTGGTCCTATGGTAGAACTACCTCCGAGAAGGGCAGGGGCCCCTTCCTTTGTGCCTGAGAAGGCTGTGAGTGTGAGTTATTGTATGGTGAAGTCAAGTCACCGAGCAGTGGCTGCCCTGGGATTCCTGGGCAGAGCTATAGGAATTGGCTCCCCATGGTGCAGCCAGGCAATGCGTGGGGATTCAGGGAATGGCCGCACACACCCCATCCAAGTATCGGTGCTATAGTGCAACTTGGGCTGTGAGAGGTGGTGTCTGCAGAGGTGATGTTGCTGATCTGTGCGGTGTGGGACCTATGCTCCTTTGATTGAAGTCCAGCATTTGAGTAGATTGATCACAAGCAACAGGTCTAACCTGAAGTTGACTTGGCAGGTCCAGGGCCAGCCCACCTTTCTCAACGGCGCTCACAGGGGCCTTCCATATAGACGTGTGAGGAGCACAGCGCCCACCTTGCCTTCCCCTCCACCTGCTCCCTGATCGCCATCCCATCCTTCTGAGTCTCCTAGTTTTGACCTTGCTGATTTCTTTTCTGATTTTGGTCTCTCCTCACCCTTGGTTCTATGGACTTGATTCTTCGTACATTTTCTTACCATCACTGTGTTTCTTGTTTTAGCAACATATTGCTTTATGCCATCTCAGGGAAGTCCCAGGAACTCTCCCACCCAGTAGGTCTTTGGGGCCGCGGCTCTACCCTGCTTTCCTTACTCATTCTCTCACCAGTGTCTCCCGCATCCCATTCCCCAGAGTTCAAATCTAGGCCTCGCTACATGACAGGCAGGCTGTTTGAGGTTACTTTTCCCATCAGAGTCTTTTTTTTTTTTTTTTTTAAATAAATGGGGTGGGTAATCCCTTTCTCACAGGGCAGTTGTGAGATGTACTGAGTGTGTGTGGTGTGTGCGTGTGTGTGTAACCATCACAACCTAGTACCAAATGGAAACTATGTAATCCTAGAAATAAAGCAGCCCTCCCCATGACTCCTCTCCCCCACCTTGGTCTCTGCTGTTAGGCAGTGATGTCCCATCTCTTTCTCCCCCATCCCCCATTCCAGCCCCACCCTCCTTCACAGTTAGTGAGGGGGACTCAGACTGAACTTGCTCCTCCCCTAGCAGCAGAGGATCTCTGATTGGCTGCCGTCACCATGGCAACCCACTGCCTTCTCTCCCCATCCCTCACTTTCCAGAGCCAGCAGATTTGTGGAGTTCCAGACTTCTCAGGGCTGGGAGGGAAGATACTGGGGGAGGACAGAGAGGCCCCCTTCACAGCCAGGACAACCATGCATCTGGGGTTTGCTTGGACTCCAAATTCCAGCCTCGTATGCAGTGTGGCCTCTCCTGTCTCCACATGTTGAGGGAATGACTTTCTGGTATCCTTAGTTGTCCTGATTCCCTCTGAAATGGCTCAGCTTGGTGGCTGAGGGTCCTGGGTTAGTGGCATGTGGCATGAATGATAAGTGTGTTGTTCAATGACACTCACTGAATGTCAAACAGCACAGTGTTCGTCCTGCCGTCCTTGCAGCCCTGCTGAGGGGATTACGCCATAGATTCAGCCCTGGTGTGCTTTGAAAACCTCAAAGGCTGTAAGGGCTCATTCCTCATGCTGGCCACCCCTTGGCCAGGAGCTGGCAGCCTAACTGGGGCCCTCCCCTCCTGATGTGAAGTGGGGGCTTGGAGATGTGTGTCTACATGAGGCCTCCTGGAGAATCACACGGGGTGCTGCGGTGAGATGCCAGCCTGCAGATCCTGGCAGTGGGGTGCAGGTCAGGGGTTCGTGCCAGAGCTTGAGAATCTACTTACTCCCCAGCACAGTCTGCAGGGTGAACACGTGACATCCATGCATTAACTATGATTTTCAAATGCTCATTGATGCTGTTGTAGTTTAAAAATAATAACTTCAAAGCATGGACTGAATTCAAGGCAACTTTTGTTATTATTCGTGTTCTCAGTCAATAGGGGCATGGTGGTAGAAGGTTAACAAACCCTCCTAAAATAGGGTGAGGTGCCAGGCGTGGTGGTTCATGCCTATAATCCCAGCACTTTGGGAGGCCAAGGCAGGTGGGATCCCAGAAGTTTGAGACCAGCCTGACCAACCTGGCGAAAACCTGATTCTACAAAAAATTAGCTGGGTGTGGTGGTGCATGCCTGTAGTCCCAGCTACTGGGGAGGCTGAGGTGGGAGTATCACTTGAGCCTGGGAGGCAGAGGTTGCAGTGAGCCATGATCACGTCCCTGCACTACAGCCTCAGTGACAAAGCAAGACTTGGTTAAAAAAACAAGGAGTGGGGGGAGCAAGGTGATGGAGTTCTCACACATGCCACAACATGGATGCTCCTTGAAGACATGCCAAGTGAATGAAGCCAGATACAAAAGGACAATACTGTTCGATTTCACTGATATGAGGTGCCTAGAATAGGCAAATTCATAGAGACAGAAAGCAGATTGGGGTTAGCTGGAAAGGGGAGTTATTGCTTACTGGTTACATATGAATATTGGAGAAGATGCAAAAGTTCTGGAGATGCAAAGCTGTGATGGCTACACAACAATGTGTGTGCACATGAGGCCAGTGAGCTGTACACTTCAAAACAGTGAAAATGGTGAGTGTTATGTTGTACATGTTTGGCCACAATAAAATTACCCTTCCCTGGCCAGGCGCGGTGGCTCATGCCTGCAATTCCAGCACTTTGGGAGGCTGAGGCGGGCAGATCATGAGGTCAGGAGTTCAAGACCAGCCTGACCAATATGGTGAAACCCTGTCTCTACTAAAAATACAAAAATTAGCCAGGCGTGGTGGTGGGCACCAGCTACGTGGGAGACTGAGGTAGGAGAATCGCTTGAACCCTGGAGGTGGAAGTTGCAGTGAGCCGAGATCGCACTATTGCACTCCGCCCTGGGTGACAGAGTGAGACTCTGTCTCAAAAAAAAAAAAACCAACAAAAAAACCCCAAAAACATTACCCCTGCCCTCCAAGAAGAACACATGAGGCCAGGCTGGATGGTGGAATGTGGGGATGATGGACACATCTTGGGGCGCTTTAATCTTTAGAGGTGTTCTGGAGGAGAGGGTCTCGCTCCACAGCTGCCTGGCTCCTCTCCTGCCTCACCCTGCCCTCTCCAGCTCACTGGCTGAGGGCAGCAGCCCGTGAAGGTTATGTTAGTGGCCCCCCCATTCCCTGAGGGAACTACAGAAGCCACCATCACTGACCTGTCATCTCCGCTCAAGAGTTCACCATATGGAAATGTAAACTAGTACAACCACTATGGAAAACAGTGTGAAAAATTTTTAAAGAACTAAAAGTAAATCTACCATTTGATCCAGCAATCCCACTCCTGGATATCTACCCAGAGGAAAAGAAGTTATTGTACAAAAAAGATACTTGCACATGCATGCTTATGGCAGCACAATTTACAATTGCAAAAATATAGAACCAGCCCAAATGCCCACCAATTAACAAGTGGATAAAGGAAATGTTTTTTATATATATAAATATATATTATATTATGTATTTTATATATTATATATAAATATATATTATATTATATATTATATTTTTATATATTATATTATATATTATATGTATATATAATATAATATATATTTTATATATATATATACACACCATTCCATGGTGCGTATATATATACCACGGAATACTACTCAGTCATAAAAAGGAATGAAATAATGGCATTTGCAGCAATCTGGGTGGAATTGGAGACCATTATTCTAAGTGAAGTGACTCAGGAATGGAAAACCAAACATCACATGTTCTCATTCATAAGTGGGAGCTAAGATACGAGGGCGCAAAGGCATAAGAATGATACAATGGACACTTAGGAGACTTGGGGGAAAGAGTGGCAGGAGAGTGAGGGATAAAAGACTACACACTGGGGACAGTGTACACTGCTTGGGTGGTGGGTGCACCAAAATCTCAGAAATCACCACTAAAGAACTTATTCATGTAACCAAACACCACCTGTTTCCCAAAAACCTATTGAAGTTTTTAAAAAATCCACCATATTTAGGAATCACCAGTGTAATGACCAATCCACCTTCCTACCTGTGGCTCCCTCTGGAAGGCCCAGGAGGGCTGGATGGGAGGGGCAGTGAGGACCCACTAGTGTCAGCAGAGATGTGGCTGATACCTTTGCAAAGGTGGCCAGAGGGAAGCCTTACTCTCCAGAGACTCCAGTGCAGGGCCCTCATCAGCTCCCAATCCTAGGGTTTTTGCAGTCCCTGCAACCCCCCGCCTTCTGAGTCATCGTTCAAACCCACCAGCCCTTCTGACAGAGCTGGAAACAGGCACCAAGCCCTCCAGGAAGCTATTTTTAGGGTTCATCTGTTCTTTTTTATTTCTTCTCTGGATTCCATATTCTCTCACCCCCAGATTTAAAGGACCTAAAGATTCTGGAAATCATTCATTATCCCCTCAGCTCACAAGCTGTGGCTTCCCCCCAACCTTCCCTGTACCACTCCCTCTTTCTTTCTTCCTCTCTGCCCTCACCCCTCTGGTTCTCCAGCTCCACAGGCAGCAGAGAAAGCAGGCTCTTTGTCTGACATCATCTTCCACTCCCTGGCCTGCTAAGAGTTACTCACTCAGGCAATCCCTGCTCCACCAGAGGAGACTGTCCAATTGCCAAGCAACCCACTGCTGGCCAATCACAGAGCTTGGAGGTGATGTCATGGCGAGAGCGAGCAGTGGTGCTGATGTTGAGAGAAGCCCAGGGTACCACTAATTGAGGGAGTGAGGAAGAGAGCAGCTCGCTTCTAACTGGACTGCACGTAAGTAGAAATAAAATGCAACTAATTTGAGGCTTTTCAGGCAAAAGAAAAAACAAGACAGCAGCTACAGTGGGGAGAAGCGAGGGGCCTAGCACCTATTGTGTCACCTTTGGTTTTACTCAATCATTTAAACTTTGTCAGATCTTGGGGGAAAGGGGGTGAGGCAAAAAGAATGGCGCTCGGCCAAGGGGTGAGGGTAGGCTCCAGGTGCCACTTTTATTCCAGAGCTCAGGAGAGGCAGGATGGGTGGGAATTGTCAGATGCTATGGTGAGTTATTTCTGCATAAAAATGTTTTGTTGCTTAGAGAGAAAGGTTTTGTGCCAAGTCTGACTGCCCCTGCAGCTGGCTGTGACCTGAAGATCCGTTTCAAGTGGGAAGCTCTCCTGTGTTTTTACCTTTTCTTCCTCAGACACAGCTTTTCTTGTCTCCCATTCCCATTTTTATCACCCATCTTTTCCTTCAGCTCTATGCACGGGTTACTTATTTCTCTTGGTTCTCAGGATGCAATGAGATCATCACCTCCTCCTGGCCCCGCCCCACCCTGAGGTCAGCCTAATCCTACCTGGCCAGAGGTGGCTGGCTCCAAAGCTGAAAACTGCAGACACCCAGAACTGCCACGCCCTGGCCACTGACTGGGACCCTGGCCAGCGCCCCCCTCCTTATGCAGCCCACCACCCTCGCCAGGAGTTTAGGCATCATTAATTTCTCATCCTGGGACCCAGGGTTTTGATGTCCAGCGGCCAGCCTTCCCCACGTGGTGGTGCTGTCTTTGTTTTATTTCTCCCAGGAAGACACAATCAGGTGTGGTGGAGTCTTGTTGTCCTGAACATGGGCAGGTCTCCAGAATGCTCTGTGTGTGTGTGTGTGTGTGTGTGTGTGTGTGTGTGTATGGGGGTGGGAGGGAGAGGTTAGGAATGTTCATGTGCCCTTGTCTGAATACCCCAGGAAGGGATACCCCTGGTCTCAAGACCAAGAGAATACAAGGTGGGAATGGCCAGAGGTGGCCTGCTGAGGCTTGAGGGATGGGTGGGAGGTTGAGAGGGAATATGAGGGAATCTGTCTCAACCTGAGGCTGAGCCCCCCACCTCCCAGGGGGAGGAAACCTCTCCCACAGGCGGGTGCTAGGGGAATGAGATCATCCTTCAGATGAGGAAATAATCATAGTGCTGGAGCAGTGAGAAGGCAGAGGGGAAAAGGTCTGATCGGCAGCTCAACGGAAGGAAGCCACAGTTTCCCAGCAATGCTGCCCTAGTCTCCGGCTCACCCCAACCCTCCACTTTGCTGCTAGGAGCTGTACTTTCACCCCACTTGGAAACCACTGAGCACCTGTCAGCTGGTCCCAGCCCTCCTGGCATTCTCAGCTCCACCCAGGCCACTCCTGGAACAGCTCTGGAGTGAGCAGGATCTGAAAATGCTAGATGGATCTACCATAGAGCACGCTGCCCTGTAGGGAGTGAGTTCCCTAACACTGGAGGCATTCAAGCAGAAGTTGGATGGCCACCCACCAGGGAGGCTTTGGAGGAGGTTTTTGCATTATGTTAGGGATTGGTCTAGGTTAGTGTTTTAACTGCAGGCTGAGACCCATTAGTACACTATGAAATCAATCTATGGATTGTAAATGGTTTTTTGTTTTAATAAAATGAAATAAGATAAAGTAAAAAATAATTAGAGCACATCTCACGTAATAGGATAAATAATGCTTCCTATGCTGTCTTCAGTTACATATCAGTTATGTGATATTTGTCTGTACAAATGTACATATATGTCTGTATCCATAATCATACATATGTGTATATGTCCGTATCATGACATATACATACTGGATCATAATATACAATGTAGCACTTTTTGTGAGTTTCAGTCAAAAAAGTTTGAGAAACATTAGGCTAAGTGACCTCTAATTACCTCTCCTAACCCTGAGACTACAAGCCTATGAAAAACTCCCAATAGATAGTCAACCTTTTTTTTTTTTTTAAATTTTTAACTGTGGTAAATACACATAACATAAAATTTGCCATTCTAACTATTTTTAAGTGTAAATATCAGTAGTATTAAGGTTTACGTTGTTGTGCATCCAATCTTCAGAACTCTTTTCATCTTGCAAAACGGAAACTCCATACCCATTAAATACTAACTCCCCATTCTCCTATGCGCCAGCCCCTGGAAAATCCCATCCTACATTCTTTCTCTATAAATTTAACTCCTCTAGGTACCTCAGATAAGTGGAATCAGTACTTGTCTTTTTGTGATTGGCTTATTTCACTGAGCCTAATGTCCTCAAGGCTTATCCATGTTGTACACTGTGTGTCCCTATTCCCAGGCAAAAAATAAGTGCCTTTAAGTTGCAGTTAAATACAAATACTGTTTTTTATGGGAAGTTGTCCTTCTTTAGTGAGTTACTTCATTCTAAAAGACCTATCAAAGATGGAGAAGTTTGGTCTCATATTGTCCATACTGGCCAGGTTGTCGACTGGAGGTGGAGGGACAGTGGAAGTGTCCTGCATTTTTGGTTGGATGGCTGCTTAATAGCTAGATTTCACTTTAGTTCAATCAAAGAAACGCAAAGGCCAAGGGACTGTCTTCTTTCACTGGACTAGGCCATTTTAACCACATTTTTCCTGTAGGGGGATGTGGGCTGATTGATGACTTTTAAAATAGAGCAACAAAGATTGACAAATTGAGGTTCAGAGAATAGGGTACTTGAGCAGGGAAAAGGAACATGGGACAAAGAAATTAGGAAGGTAAGAGAGAGATAAAGAAAGGAGGAGAATAGTGTCTATATTAAACCAACTGTGTAGAAGGAATGGAAAAATTCAGATCTTTTGTGCTCGTGCTTTTAAATAATAAGATATTTAATTATCAAGATCATAATCAAAGAAAGGCTTAATTTTTCAAGAACCCCTAAGATTATCTCCCCTGCTCCCTCTGATATCTTTATATTATTTCATACTTACCTGGAGATTCTCATTTGGAAACAGAATTCCCAGAGATTTTGAAGACACGGATGGGGAGAAATGAAACTGCTTTTGTGGGAGGAGGGATAGAAATTTTGGGGAATTATACAACATGTAAAGTGTAACTTTTGTAATGCCACTTAGGAAACTAATCAATTTTTTTAAGCTTGAGAAATAAACATGCATCATGTATAATTTGGTTTGCTTATTAAATTAGCATTTGCTGTATTTAGAGATGTGACAGCCTGGGAAAGGTTGCTTTTTCTGTTTTTCTTTAGGGACGGATGGATACCAAAAATTCTTCCCTGCCATTTGAAAATTGGTTTTGTTTTTTTTTTTCAGAGTTTTACATCTCTAGTCCCTCTAGGAAGACAAATGAATACATGCACACTTGCCCCCTTCCCACCTACATATGCATGCACACACGAACCCCCACATCTGAGCACTCCCACCCCATCCCTACACACACATATGAGTGCTCCCACCCCATCCCCTACACACACATGTGAGTGCTCCCACTCCATCCCCTACACACACATATGAGTGCTCCCACTCCATCCCCTACACACACACAGGCATACCTATCCCTCCCCACTGAAGCCCAAAGCTTGCTGGCCTTTCCATCAAGTAAAACTGAGAGCTGCGTGTCCACTCCCCTAGGGTCCTGCTGTCAGAGGCTGGTGGTGGGAGGCAGGAGAACAGAACAGATCAGAAAAGGTGGGAGCCTGGGGCTGGTTGGCCTGATTCATGGTGGGCTTTAGGCAACTCGAGAGTTTGGATAACAAACTGCAGAGTATGAATCCAGAGAAAGGAGCTGAGCTCAGATCCAGGATGAAAGACCCAGTAGGGGAGGATGAGCAGAGTGTCAGTGGACCATGTGGGTCTGTGCCTAGACAGCCAGACTAGAGAGAGAAAAGTTCACACTGAGTATGCAGAAAGAGTTGGATAGAGGGTAGCACCTTTCAGGAAGGCTCTGTCTGCCCACAACACAAACACAATTCAGCTATTGATCCTGGACAGGGTTGTCTAGCATTTGCACCTGCCATCAAACCAGATGCATAAGGACTTAAGAAACAAACCATGGGCTGGGCATGCTGGCTTACACCTGTAATCCCAACACTTTGTGAGGCTGAGGTGGGCGAATCACTTGAGGTCAGGAGTTCAAGACCAGCCTGGCCAATATGGTGAAATTTCATCTCTACTGCAAATGCAAAAATTAGCCGGGCATGCCGGTGGCACATGCCTGTAATTCCAGCTCCTCGGGAGGCTGAGGCAGGAGAATCGCTTGAACCAGGGAGACAGAGGTTGCAGTGAGCTGAGATTGCACCACTGACCTCCACCCTGGGTGACAGAGGGATACTCCATCTCAAAAACAAAAACAAAAACAAAACATGATCCCTTTCTGAAAAACAAGAAAAACAAGAGTACTCCAACAAGTACTCTAGCTAATAAAAAAAATTATCAAATGAAAGAAATAAAATAAAACAAAAAACCCTACATGGTGTCAATGATGGTCATAAGCAAAGAAAACACGAGAATTTAGAGCCATTGCCTAGTTAAAATTGGTATATTTATAAAGCTCAATGCAAATGTCAAACATCTTGAGGCTAGGGGATGTGTCTGTAAGATCATCACTGTATCCCTAGTGCTTTATATAGTGCACACAGTAGATCCTCAATCAATATTTGTTGGATGAATAATGTAAGAAAGAACTTAATAATGATAATCCAGAACTGAAAATCCAGATCTTTCTGACAAAACCAGGTTTGTACAGAGAGGTTTGTTGCTAAACCTTTCATCTCACACAAATAAAATCATTAGATACTCTTTCATTCTTAATGTAGTGAAATATAGACATAAAAGATTTTAACATAAAGCTAAAATTAAAAGTAATACATAAAATTTACAAAGCATTGGAGAATGAAAGAATAAAGAAAACAAGAGCAATATTGCAAAAGATAAGGAATTTCTGTCAGTGTAGTTGAATGTGGGCCAGAAGCTTGGCTCTGTTCTCTCTGAAACCTCAGGCAAGGCACTTCTTGGGC